GCTCATTGGTGAAGTTTTCAAAAACTAAGGTGGTGGAAATTAGGTGGTTGGTGGTAAGCCGGGGGGCAATGTGCCTTAAGTCACAATAGGATTTGCGTCGAACAATAAAAAAAAGTTTAAATTGTAGGAACACAAAGGGGTAATTAATATTATTTAATCAATTCAAAACATTTGCGTGTAGATTCAGTATCTATAGAATCCATACCCATAGAAACGTTCAGTTAATCGTAGATGAATTCGTAGCCATCAGGAATTTATTTAAAGTCATTTATATTAAATTAATTATTAATAGTGCGTATTGAATAACGTAATCAGTCGCACGACTGCCGCTATTTGGGCGCAGATCACAACATTTTTTACTTACCGCCGAATTGCGTAATTTTGTGCAAACAACTCCTCGCTTCACTCGCGTATAATTTTGATGATCTTTTTTGAACTACCTATCCAGTTATCGAACCCCCCAGCACAGTGACCACCTTTTATATCCTCCCTAGTTAAGCAAATTCTAACCGTTATTTAAAGTATAACATGGAAACTTGTAAACGCAACTACACGTTCTTTATGATTGAAACTGAGGAAATTTAAATTAATTCGTTTTGACCCTTAAAGTCACGGAAATGGATTGAATGTTCGCGAGTTTTTCTCTATGAATTGACTAGAAGATCTATGATACATCCTGAACTTCGTAAGTGAATATGGCTGTTGAAATTACCCTGCGATGTCTCAAGATTACACAACCCGCCGTAATTAAAGTTATTAACCATTTCCGCCATTCTATCTATGGTGGCAGAGAACAAGCAAAGGAGACATTTGTGATCCACAGTTCAATTTGTTTTCATTTAAGTAATATTTACATGTTACTTTGTCGCAAATCAAAATACACATAATGGAAACGAAACAAAACTTGATGAGAAAAAGAAGAATAGAAGGAGGAAGGAATGTTGAAGCCAAATAGACGAACATACTTGAATTTGTCTTCTAACTAACGAAAAATACCACAAATCGGTCTACACTGTACGAAAAAAAGTACTTAACTGAAGTACGTTCGTCATTAGTCTTCAAGTACCTATGTCTCGAGCGCATTCGAGTGCCTCAGCAGCGTGCCTTAAAATATTGTAATAAAGTGATAATGTAGAGAGTTCCCTTGGAAACGTGAGTAAGTAGGATTTCACTGTTTGATCTTTGGAAGCAACCTCATTCCCATCTCCACAACTAAACCATATTCTCGGTACTAAAGTTAGTGCGTGTTGGCAAGCAGTTAACCTTTGAAGCTTTTTTTACTAGATTAGGTTGTTTCAAGTATGTGCCGATCAGAGACTTGCTATAACTAGACGGCGCTTAACGTATCTAAGGTGTTTTCGACACAGTATGCAACACACAATGCACCGCGGGGCAAAAATCGCTGAGATGATATGCAATATAATGAAATAAGCTGTTATTTTAGATGTTCCGTTCATTAATCATTCTCGTGATTAGCTCGAATTAGTGAACAGATAAATTTCTGTTGAGAATAAACCAATAAACTTAGGTTAACTTGTGCCTATCAACATGTACTCTGTCAATAAATTTTTAAATAATATGCTGATTTTCAACGGATAAAAGTTTAAAGGGCCAATGGATCAGAGCCATTCGAAGAGAAAAATTTACTCCCACCATAGTGCATTTTCGGGGAATGAAGCCGATTTTAGAAAGGTACCTACGAAGGTGTTAAACTATAATGCAATACCGAGCGTTTTCGACTTTCCCATTCACTTAAAATAACGTAGAACTATTATTCGACATCCTTTACCAGCAAGACAACGACAAAAAATCGAGGATTGTTGCACGTATCAAGCGATGCATTAAAAATTTGCCAAATTGCTGAAAATGTGTTCAGGTTTTTCATTCAATCCACACCACACCGCGTTGTAAACAAAATGGTTATCAGCAGTCTAAGAAAAATAAATAACAGTTACAGCCCATTTGGGTTTCTGGATAGGCATATTGAATCAAAATCCGCTAAATAATCATATCTTACTACTTACATCTTTAGTTTTAAGAGTATATTTTCCCATACGTGTTCACCACCAAAATACACATATAAATCAAATCAGGACTAGAGTAAGGCAGTTATATACCAATTTAGTTCAAATAAAATACCAATAAATTCGATTAAAACAGTTCACAGTAATTTGTTATCTTTTTTTGCTACTAAAATTTTGAATAAACATGGCTAAAGCAAGCTGCAGAACGTACGTCTGCCCCGCGATGAACAGTTGGTTGCCTATCCTATCTTGACAACAATTCGCGTTTATAGTAAAACGTTACGCGCGGTCTAGTTATAACAAGTCTCTGGTGCCGATAAGCTCGGTCCATGGTATAGGTATAAAATGATGGTTTTTGACATGAACGCTACATACCGCAATCTCTTCTCAACCAACGAAGATGTCTCGGATTACTATCATCTGCCTAGCAGCTTGTTTGGTCCAAATTACTTTGGTCTCGATTTTGGCCAAGGGTAAGTCTTGCTATAGATATCACTTTGATATCATCTAATACTGTATTACCTTATAGACTGCAGACAAAATGAAGAATTCATAGAGCACACGGGATGCGAACCATTCTGTGGTAAACCCACAGATCCCACCTTCGTTTGTGCCCACGCTCCTCATTGGACTTGCAGATGCAAGGATGGATTTGTACGAAATCTTGTCAGCGATGAGTGCATAGAAGAAAAAGACTGCCCAAGGAAACTATAAGTGGAAATTTACATTGTGCATTTGTCTAGTAATTGACATAACTTTATATCCTGAATAACTATACATAAGAAAATAGAGTAATAGAAACAAACGACATTAAAAGATGTGTTTTTGGATTTCAACCTTGCAAAGAGTGTAAGAAGTCCATTGCAAAAATACCCTTACCATAAAACCAGTAGACTAGACTACGCTATTGAAGGTGAGCTTTTAAAAAAAATAAAGCAAGCTGTAAAAAAGCAAGCTAGCTGTACGAAAATTTCCTAATCATGGTCCTAAAGTAAAATATTTTCAAATAGTTCAAAAATTTCAATATTAATGGTAGCCAAGGTTGTCAAAAGGTACATCCTACACGAACCAAGACTTGATGCAAACGGTGCTTTTAACCCTAGCCTGCAGTTTTTTTGTTACTTGCTTGGAGTCGAGGAAATTGTTATCCAAAATGCATTTAACTTTTTTTAAAGTCAACTAATATATTTCATTTAGTTCTTATGATTTGATAAATCTGAAGGCTTCCAAACATCCAAAAAAACCTAAGAAAAGTTCAACTTCAAGAACCTTGAGAATTTGTTATTTAAGCCCAAAGCTAAACCGAACAGTTCATACAGAAGAGTTAAAGGAATTTGAAACAACAGAAGAATTGTAAGCTTTTGAAGCATTTTGATAATCCAAAACTATAAATTTCAATAATCTGGAGAAGTCGACGGATCGGAACGCTTTTTAACGTCTCAAGTTGTAATTATGTGAAATTTAAAGAGATTAATTCCTAATTTCACTCCTGTAGGAATCTGGAATTAATCTAAATTTCTATCAGGAGAGGGCGGTAGTTTCGGAGACGTATGTTTGTTGACATTCCCACCAGTAATTACCATCACCATTACATCCCCACTTCCTTCCAAACACTATATCAACAGAAACCGAACCCGAAAGAGGGTCTTAGAATCGTTGCCCTGAGTACAACTTTCCTGTTCCCTGGTTAGAGACAATTGTAGATCGCGCTCTGGCAATAATTTACCTGTCCCTCCATTACAGTAGATGTGTCGGTTGTAATACCGCGCTCTTCCCAGTTACCTTCCGTGAATTAAGGGTGTCCGACTGTATAGCCGAACTCTGAATTAAGTTTACCTGTTTTTAAATTCGCTCGCCGGGACCCATCACTCCTGCTATATACCCTGGGTGATGTATTAGTTGGGTTATAACGTAAAAACTCGCCTAATTTGCCTGATCACGTTCAAAGTTACTTATAAAGGAAATTGTCGCATTCAGCCATTATAATTTAATTTCTGTGCAATTGTAAATTATAAGTAAAGTTGTGTATATGTATATTTTTTCTAATCATTGTATTACTTATATTCTGCCAAGCATTAGAAAATAAATTTGAGATGACCTGGATCTCGGATATCGAGCTAACCAGAACAGCTCCTGTGTTCCTGACCGTAGGCAACCCAACATTCACAGGTTGTCTTGACGAAAAGGCGGTTGTGTAGAAAGGAGGTTTTAGAGGTCCTTAGGCTACGAACAGGCCTGTAACCGCTAGGACCGTTTACAAAGTTTGACTAAAATTCAAGAACTAATTTTGCGTACGTTAAAGAGCTCCCGAAAGCGGCTCTAAAAGCCCTCAGACTACTCCAGCTTCAAAATTTGTTTCCTCATAGTGGACGCGTTGAGAAAGCTCTAAGAGCAACAGGAAGCCTGAAAAAGGCAAGGAAAACTTTAACAGGTCATTAGAATGTTTATAAAAGAGCGCTTCAAAAAAGATACCAGGTTCTGGATGACCTTCAATTTTTTGGTCTCTCAAGTCATTACCCGTGATACGTGCATTCTTGCGAAACGCCAAAACCAACCTCCTAATACTCGACCTATCCCCACCTGGCGTGCTTTACCAGGGTAGTGGTGGTCTACTTCCTTCCTTTCTGGAGATGGCTGAGCGCTAGCCGTTCCCAAAGTCTGCACTTCTTCAGCGGAAGGTGGAGTAACCACCTAATACAACCTCACCAAAAACCCAAATTTTCCAGGTTTGAGGGAGATCTATAGACTGAAGAATGTGGGGAAATGCTCAGATTCTCATGGTGCAACTGGTTTACCTCACTATACGGAGTTCTGCAGAACTTGAGCAAGAAGTAATTCTTCACCTGGTCACTGTTCAATGTCATACCTTCGTTGTGTTTCTTTAAATAGGATTGCTGATTATATACACTTTTCTATGTTCTGAAGATTCTTGAGGGAAATGGACCTTTTGCAAAAGAGTAATGACTAATGCAATTATTGTTTTTATATTGTGGTAATTATTACTTTAATAAATTATGTTTATTGCTATACAATGGCACAATCAAAATGTTTATATTTGCTTTGGGCAGTCTTTCTCTTCTATACACTCGTTGCTAGAGGGATTTCGTAAAAATCCATTTTTGCATCTGCATTCCCAACCCCAGAAAGGATTGTGGATACAAGGGGTCAAGGCGTCGGCGGGTTTACCACAGAATGGTTCGCATCCCATGTGTATTACGTACTCTTCATTTGTACCACATTCTAGAAAATACCATAGACTAACGTAAAAAAAAGGCGGCATTCAAAACTTACCCTTAGCCTTGGCAATTTGGACCAGGCAAACTGCTAGACAGACAATAACAATGCGAGGCATTTTTGTTCGTAATTAGAAGTGATTTGTGTTGTTCACGTCAAAACCATTATTTTATATACGCCCAGCATATCTATACTTCCACTTGAGAAAGACCAATCTAATCTAGCAAGACAAACTTCAACGGATGATTGTTTGCCAAATCGTGCACCACGCACTAATTTCAAGAACGAAGCGGAGTGCAAAAGATTCCACCGATCATGAACCAAGGGCAAAGATGAAAAATGAAAATCCTTATCTTGGTATATGTCTCACACACCCAAAATTTTCCACATGATCAGCAGAAATATATTCGTCGCACTTACAGTGACACGTTGCTTAGACCAGTTATGAATTAATGTCATATTTAAATAAAAACAAGTAAAGGCGAAATTAGCCGGTAATTGGTGCTTATGAACTTTAATTTGAGTAACAGATATTAATTTCAATTATTTTTTGTCAATTAAGCAAAGCAAACACAAAATAGATGAAATGTATCTAAGTCTAGGAAATTTTGATTGGGTTTTTTAATTAAGCGAGTTAATTAAATTATAAATTAATTCAATTCACGATAAATACAAAATGTCTATGCGAACATTCGCAAATGAAAACAATTGCGAATCCTTAAAGCTAAAAAATAAGTTCACTTTAAAATTATGAACAATTTGAATTAAATTAGGCACCTGGAATAAAGAAGCAATGATTTCCCAATCGTTAATTTCTTAAAAATATGTTATTTGTGTGCTAATTTAGCATTATAAATTAAATTTACCAATGATAATTGAGCCAGAAATGCTAATTAAGCAAACAATACTAGCAACTGCTTAATTTTTAACTATGAGATTAAACCTAACAAAAATAAATATTAATTGTCAATCAATTAACGTAACTTACTGATGAATTCGTGTCTCCTCAAATAATCCAAATTGCCACTTTGTCTAATAAAATCCATGTTAATTGGAGTAGGCAGCAGAAATTAGCTTTAATTAATTTTTTCTAATTGAGGAAAGGTAATAAATTAGTCAAAGTTGAATTTGACTAAGAAAACAATTAAAATTAATTTGTCTGTAGGAGGTGGGCATAGAAATGTCAACCTCAAAGTTATTTAAAAAATAGCCAAAGCAAATTTTTTTCGGTAACTAGCAGACCTCAATTAGTTCATAAAATTAAAAAGTATAAACGACATTTTCGACAGAATTTTGAGAGGAGATTCCCTAAGGAATCAACAATGAGTTTAATTAAGCAAAAGTAATAACAGATGTTTTGCTTGATGAAAGCGTAGTCGTTAATTAATTAGTTATATGTTTTAATCAATGTCTTCTCAGGCAAGTAACGGCGAAACTATGCAGCAATTATTTCTTCTTTGTTTTAATTTAAGCAAGTAGGAGAAATTAATTTCAATTAATTTTTGCTGACTTAACAAAGTAAAAAATTAAATAGAGAGAATGTATCAGGTTCTACGGTTTATTTTTAGAGCGATCACAGGAAGTATTCTAATGAGCTTCAATTAGTTACATTTTTCGATCTAGCATACAAAATTAATCTAGGTATAATTGTCCTCTTAAGATTCAACGATAATTTGAGTAACTAGCAAACATTACTATTAATTATCATCCTAATTAAACAAAGCGAAGCATTAAGTAGGTAAAATGTATGTGATTCAACTCCTAATTAAATTTTTCGAACCAGCAAACGTAATTAATTAGAAATTGATCTATTATTAAATGAGGCAAGTAAAGGCGAAAATAAACGGTAATTTTCGATTATCAGCCCTAATTTGAGTAACAGAAATTATTTTCAATTAATTTTTTGTCAATTAAGCAAAGCAGAAAATAAAACAGAGGAAACATATTTGATTCAATTGAGTTTTTCGCACTGACAAACGTAATTAATCAGTCAATAAATGAATGTCTCCTTAAAAAGAAAGTAGAAGTGAAAGCAGACGGAAATCATTGCTGATTAGCATAATTATTTCAGTGAGTAAGAAAAAATAATTTGAATGAATCTTTTTCGCTAGTTCAGCAAAAACATATTGTTGAAGTTGTTTTTTTCTAATCGAGCAACAAAAATTATAAATTAGCAGTGATAACGTAAAAAGACGACCATTATTAGCCCTGAGGTTGGTGTTGAAGGTTAAATTTAAAAAAATAGACAATGAGACCTTTTATTCCATTTGCTACGTCAGCATAATAAGGTAATTGTACTAATTAATAGAATTAATTTTTTGATAATTAAATCAAAAATTGTAATTAAGCCGATCGCTTAATGTTTAACTGTGAGTTTAAAGCTAACAAAGTGAATATTAATTGGCAATCAATTTATTGATGAAAATTAATGCCTTCTCAAATGACCCAAATGGAGGAACGACCATTATTGCTGCCTAGTTAATTATCCATGTCAATTTGTGTAGGTAGCAGAAATTAATTTCAATTAATTTTTTTGACTGAATTAAAATTAATTTGTCTGTAGAAACCAAAGAAATGGTGTATTTGATTCAACCTCAACATCATTTAAAAAATAATGAAAGCAATTCTTTTTCGTTAATTAGCAGATAAAATTTTGACATACTTGAGTAAAGGCAGTAATTTCTAATTCCTGACAGAATTTTGAAAGGTGAATCACTAAAGTATCAAAAATGAGCTTAATTAAGGAAAAATAAAATCAAATGTATTGCTTGATCAATTAGCTATACTTTTCAATCTACCAAACACAATTAATTTGTGAATTACTATCTCCTTAGGCCTCAGTAACGGTGAAATTAGGCAGTAATTATTGCTGCTTTGCTTAATTTTTTTGCTAATTAAGCAAAGCAGTAAATTAAGTAAAACAATGTATCTGATTCTACGTCTTATTTTTGGATAGGCATCAAAACGGAAAAGGGAAAAAAACAGTTTGTTGAATTTTTCAATCCAACAAACGTAATTAATTTATGAATTAATGTCTTTTTTAATTAAGGCAAGTGGAGGTGATTACTACTGATTAGTTTAAAATTCAACGTTAATTTGAGTAAGTAGTAGAAGGTACCTTTAATTAGTCTTTTGCTAAGTAGGAAAACCAAAAAAATGAAGTAAAAAAATGTATCTGATTCTACGTTTTGTGTTTAGAGCGATCATACACTTCAATTATAGTTGAATTTTTTGATTCAACAAACGTAATTTATTTATGAATTAATGTTTTTTTAATAAACCAAGTAAAGGTGAAAGCAGACGGCAATGATAGATACTTAGCTTAGGATTCAACGTTAATTTGAGTAAGTAACGGAAGGTACCTTCAATTAATTTTTTGCTAATTAAGCAAAGCAAAAACTAAGTGAATCGTTCTTCAGTTGAAGATGGACTGTGGTACTAAGGGTCCCCGGTTCGAATCCGGGTTCGGGCGTGGATATTTGTAATTGTCTAGTGGAGTGGGTGGTAGAGCAGCCTGGGCTGAAACCCCGCCCGCTCAAAAATAAGGCAAAAATAAACTAAAATAAATAAATTCGTTTTTGGTAATGTTTAGTATCAGGAAAACATAAAATTCCCGTGGAAGACGCACAAATTCTGGTATTTTGTATTTGTTGAAAGATTCTTCGCTTATGTGCTCCTGATGTGATGATAACTAAGTTTTAAAACTTTTTATCTGTGCCCCTTATACAATTGGTTTTGACAAAAGTTTTGGTAGTTGATTACAGTAATAATCAATTCTGTTCTCCTGATATAATTAATTAGCTGTTGGTACTCTTTTGATACCAGGAAATTTCGTGTCGTGTAAGAGATGCACACATTTTGGTTCTTGGGTTTATATGCTTCTGATGTAATTTTATGGCCAGAGTTCCCAGATTTTTGCCCGGGCCTTAAGAACGATCTTGTAGTAATGCTTCAGATACAATCGATTTGGTTTTGGTACGTTTTTTTGGTATCAGGAGAACATAATATTATAATTTGTTAAAAATTTTGGGTTTGTGCATTAGGTCCATCGACCTGAGTCAAACGTAATTGTCATTGTCTTTCGTGAATGCCGAGAGATTCAACCGGGGTTCTTTGAATCGATCGGAAACATCCTTTGAGGGAAGTCAAACAGGTTAATCCTGGAAAACCATACTCCTGTACCTAAGAGAAGGACGACTCTAGTTCGGGAGGTAGTACAAATGACCCGAATTTCACCTAAATTAATATGTTTGATTGAAATTAACAATTCTCAAGGAAAATTGGATCTGTTTTCCTATTGATACCAATCCATGGACAAATTCAAGTCGTTTTTACGATATGGATTTTATCATTTATGCACTTATTGGCACTGGATTTTCAGAAGCTTCAGTTTTTTTCATTTTGAGTTTAATCTCGATTTTGGGCTCTATGTTTAATTCACGAGATGAAAAATAATTAAACTTAAGGAGTTTTCGAAATTTTGGAAATGACCGGATGAAATGCCCAGAAAGTTCTGGATAATGGATACTGTTAGGCACGGAATCTTATATTTGTATGTCAACCCATTATCGTGCCGTTAAGGGTAAAATGAATTAAACTTTCCCTTTGTAAATAATAAACAGCGCCCTTAAGTAGAGACACGGCACTTTCATATTGTCGATGTATTTATATTGTAACTGGAATTCACCCAAAAAGGATTAAACAAATATTTCCTTTAGACGATCATTTTAAATTAATGAAGGCCTTATACTGGTGTTCAAAATTTTCTATTTCTTAAGATGGGGTAGCCACCTGGAAAAATACATAAATTTTAAAAGCACCGTGCTGAAAATCCTTGCAATTGTTGTTTGAAGCGTGAGTCGCAATCCTTGAGAACGAGCAAAATTTGCACCTGGATCATGAGTCTTGTTACCTGGCGTATGAATTTTAAATTTTAAAACGTGTCCGTGGAAAACTGATGACTAAAAGTATTAAATCGGTCACAGTGAACGGTATTGATTGTTACAATAGTATCCTCGTCGAGTATTGTAACAAATTTCATCAACGATTTTAAAAAGTGGTATAAATTAATTATTCCATCAAATGAGGGGCGTTCCCGAAACGATGCCAAGAACTTCTCAATATTTTCCAGATCTAATAACAGATTATGCATGATACTTTTCTGCAATGGAGCTTCTCATTTTTTTTCCTCCTCTCTTC